GCGCCCCAATCAAACAATTATTGAGGCGACAAGTGGGAACACGGGCATCGGGCTCAGTCTGGTGGCTGCGGTGAAGAAATACCCCATGATCATCACCATGCCCAAAAAGATGTCACATGAGAAGGAGGTGACCCTCCAGGCCCTGGGAGCAGAGGTGATTCGAACGGAGACCGCATTGCCATGGGACCACCCGGATAGTCTCATTGGCATGGCTCGGCGTCTGGAGAAGGAGAAGGGCTACGTGTTGCTGGACCAGTACCGGAACCCAAGCAATCCGAAGGCGCACTACGAAGGCACGGCTCAGGAGATTTACGATCAGTGCGGTGGAAAGGTTGACATGGCGGTGTTCACCACTGGGACGGGCGGCACAATGGCCGGAGTGGCAAAACGATTAAAGGAATTGCTGCCCAACATTGTCATTGTCGGCGTCGATCCGTACGGGAGCATTTTGGCCGATCCGTCGGTACCGCTGGATCCGAAGCCGTACCTCGTTGAGGGCATCGGGTACGATTTTGTGCCAGATGTCTGCGAACGGAAGTACGTTGATCGGTGGGTGAAGTCCGCTGACAAGGAAAGCTTTGCGCTGGCGTCGGAGGTTCACCGCGAAGAGGCGCTCCTCGTCGGAGGGAGCAGTGGTGCCGCCATGTGGGGTGTGCTGCAGGCAGCGAAAGATCTTCGTCCTGACCAGCGGTGCGTTGTGGTATTCCCGGATGGCATCCGCAACTACATGACAAAGTTCCCGGACAAGAATTGGCTGGTGGAGAACGGCCTGGAGGAGGGCGAAGTGACACGCCCAACCTACGGGTCGCTGGAGGCGCAGCTGGAAGAGGCAAAGAAAAAACTGTCGGAGTATGAGGCGAAATGCGGCGGCAGCGTGGAGGAGGGTAAACGTTGCTGTGAAAAAGCAAAGTAATATATGAATACATACATACATACATATAAATAAAACATAAACATACATAACGGGGCAAAACGAGGTAACTTTTGAGTAAATTCTGGGATCAGGGCGAATGCAAGGCAACGATAATTGCATGGGTACGGCAGCATTGTTAGGGAGGGAAGTGGAGTGTTTGGGGGGCACTGCGGGCGAGCGAAGACAAGAGCAAAAAAAAAAAAAAGCGTCCGCCATGAGAAATACCGGGGAAATATGTGCTGGGAGATAGCTGGTGGGACGATGTGTGCGGAGGCGAAACGGAAAACCGGCAACGCATAAGAGGAATTGCGGGATGGGTGCTGGGGATGATTGATTACCGCAATTAACCGAATACATTACTAACATAACGCCAGAAATGGAGGGGGACCTCGTGTCTTCTACGGGTCGATGCAATCCGGGTTCCCAGTGGTGAACCGATGATGAATGCCCTGCTTTGGCTTCGAGAAGAAGGGCAAAGCAAAGGGGAGGGGCGCGATGTTTTTTTATTTTTTATTTCTTATTTATCTTATTATTTTTTTTTTTTTGAAAGTGTTCTTCTTGAATATGTTTGGTGTGTGTTTTTTTATTATTGGGGGCGTGCGAAAAGAATGTCCGCGAGAATGCGGGCGACCTAATTTAATATGTTCTGATAAGACGAATATGTTTCTGTGCGGTTCTTTCCCATCTTATGGTTCCTTGGAAGACCGCGATGGGAGGAGTCAAGGAACCGATGACGGCAGGATGAATTTCATTTCATTGTTTTTGCCGTCCAACCCCCTTTTGACTCCAACCCTGCGGCGGGGTCTTGTGGTTGGAGGATCTTGAACTCAGCCACCTCGTAACTAATAATATCTCCAGTCCGCAGAGGCTGCAGCACGTCACGGTGGCGGCCAGCCGAATATATATATAATTGGAGCGAACAACGAGGACGCGGCGAAGTCACTGTCTCTCCACCACCCCTTCCTTCCCGTCCCATTTTGTTTTTATGGAAAAGTCTGGTGTCTGGTCAGCAGCCCGGGCGAATTTTTGCGCGACTCGCCCCGCGCTTTCTAGGAGAGAGGAGCGGCGCGTTGGGTTGGCTGCGGGTCTTTGGGGCTCCGCGGTGGCCGCGGGGACCGCCCACCCACGACGCCAGGCCGGAGGCGACGGGTTTACTGTGGCTTTGGTGGTTGGGGGCGTGTCGGTGCGGTCTTTTTTGTTCTTTTTATTTGCGTTTTTTTCGTTGGCCGTGGTGCTGGGAGCCTTTTTTGGTGGGTATGGGGTTTGTGTGTTGGTGCGTATTTTGGGCGAGGGCCCTGGCGAAGCTTTTGGCGGGCAGGGTACGCAAGCGGGTGCAACATGGGAAGTTGACTTGCCGTTTTTATTTTTCATTATTATTATTATTATTATTATTGTTAAATTTGCTCCCGGTGAGTTGTTTTATTGCTGCGCGAGGTGCGAAACGGTGGAATTTTTTTGGTTTTAGTTTTTTTAGGTTACATAAAGCACCCAAAAAGAAAAAAAAAAAAAAAAATGAAAATAAAGCCGTATCATATATTTTTAGTGTTTCACTATTAAAAATCAATTTTATTTTTGGGCAAATCCAAAGAAATCAGAGAAAAAATATATTTGGATTTGTCTATTCCTGCTTCTTACATGCAGTAGGGATTTATTAGGAGCTTGTGAAGAGAATGATCGCGGGAGAGCTGGCTGCCTTAATTAATATATTAATATATATATATATCCTGATAGAAGTAATGCTCTTCTTTACGACGCTTTTCTACCGTATGAATTTTTGGCAAAAAAAGACTTTAAGGGCATCAGGGAGCAGACAGAGGCAAGATAATTTTTTATTTTTATTTTGCCACCCACCCACCCCCTGTTGATCCCCACCTCGCGGCGGGGTCTTGGGGTTGGAGAAGCCCAAAGTCTGCCACGTCGTAAGTAATAAATATTTCATACACTCACTGAGCGCAAAGGCCACGTGAGCGGTCAACAGTATATATAATACATATATATATATATATATATATTATCGGAGGGAAACACAGAGGCAATTAACTGCCTCTTCGATACTCCCCTTTTTCTCTATCTTGTTTGGTTTTGTAAATAATTTCAGGATTCTGCCTGCGTCTCAAAAGATTATTATTTTTTCAGTAAGAATAAGCACAAAAACATTTTCAGACATTGTTGTATTTGAGTAATCAAAGTGAAGCAAAATTTTTTTACCGATTTGGTGCATTGATTTTGTGCCATGAGCTAATTTTTGGTTTGCACCGTCCTGTGGGTGGCTCGTGCAAAGTTACGCATTGGCTGTTTTTTTTTTTCTCCCGATTTTTTTTTTTTTTTTTTTTTTGTGTCTATTGAAAAGTGCTAGCTTCAATGTGGCGGGATGCTGAATGCCCCGCGGCAGACGAGGGTTCCGTGTTATTGCAAAATATTTTTCCACCAGCAGACGGGATTGCGAGAGCCAAAAGAAAGAGGAAAAAGAAGAGGAGGAGGGTACTTTATGATCAATATCTTGCGGATTCGGGTAGTGAGTGCTCTACCGGGTCAAGTGAGGGAGGGGGTGAGGTTTTGAATGCGTACGAGTTTGAGGAGTTTGAGCCCGGCATGGACATCAATATTCTTATTCAGCAAACTGTGCAAAATGTTGCGCAAAGCGTTAGCTTGGAGGATTATGATGGCCTGTCACAATTTGGTGATTACGACTTGATATGTTTTGCTGCTGCGGTGAAGCACAACAGCTCCATTCTTTCACTTCAGATAAGGTATCTTGACGTTTCTGATGTGTCGCTTGTGCCACTTTGCCGCGCATTGGAGGGTCATCCCTGCATCCGGGCCTTGGATCTATCAGGCACACGAGGTGGAAACGCCACCATTAAGGCTGTGTTTCGTCTTGTTTGCACCAACCCGAATATTTTGTTTGTCCGCTTGGACGATACAATGGTAGCTTCCCATGATGCTGGGGAAATAGAGCTTGCAACTCGATATAATGCACTAGGATGTCCGGATCCGACGAATAACCCATTTCACTTGGGACTTTTGCGCAAGATTGGTGACATGGAGGAGGAAAAGCAGAAGTATAAGGAACAGCTGTCGGCGCACTCCTGGCTTTTTTCGGATCATACTGGTGGCGCTGCGAATCAAGCGACGAAGAAGACGAAGAAATTTCTATTTGCTGAGAAAGTAGCTAAGTCACGTATCGGTGCCGATGTCTGTGCACAGTTTATGAGTGGTAGATGTAACTATGGTTCGCGTTGCAGGTATATTCATCCTGATAAAACAGCGGCACTCCAGAATGCCATTACTTTAAGTCAATATAAAATATCGAAGGAGTTGGAAGGTGATGTGAATTCTCTGAGGACCTGCGCCACTCTTCTTAGTTCTGGTTCCAAAATGAGACTACAAAGCAGATTGCGTCCTGCAAAGTTTGCATTGAAAGAGCATGCATGTTCTCGCATTGTGGCTGAACCGAAAGATGTCGATTCTTGCAGTGAAGTGGATGATTTTTCTAAGCCAAACGTTGTGTGGGCGCATGCAGTTTGGATTTTTTCTTTTACTGTTGTGGTTTGCAGTGTTGTCGTGGCTGTGACTTATTGATAGGGTGGTAAAATTTAGTGAATGAGTCTTATTGGCTTGGAGCCAGCGGCGTGTGTTTTGTTTTACAGAATGATTTTTGGCCAGTGGGTATGGAATAGGTGTGTGGACGTGTGCGTGTGCAATGCGTCTTTGTTGGTGATGTATCCGTACTTATATATATATATAAGTTGCGGTATTGCATTTCCTTTGAGTGGGTCTGTTTAATCCTTTTGATGATTGTCTCTAAAATACCTAACAATATCACGAATAGCCGCGGTGACGGACTGCAAATTAATACACAACAAACAACGAACGAAACGTTAAACGTACTAAACGTCCATGAAGAAACATTTCTTCTTGACAACCACCGATGTTTCTAAGCTATAATCTTAAGTAAGGCACAAGGCCAATGACAGGCGTTTTTTTAAAGTCATGCGATTCACCACCCGCCAACGCTTGCGGCATTCCCATGGTGGATGTGCAAGGCGGGTGCCAACTATTAACAAAGTCACAGGTTTTTCAGCAGAATTGTATCTCCCCATCTTTTATACCAATATTGAAAGAGATGATTCCTCGGTACGAAGCAATGCTGGGGTTTGGTGGCAGTTGGTTTTGGAATTGCTATTTAAATGCGCTTCACGGAGAAGATGTATTTCTGGATTTGAAAGGAACTGGAGTTAGTTTGTCAGAAGATTCTTTGGACGCGCAAGTATCTCTACGGCGAAAGTTGACTTCTTTGGATGATGCCAAAATGTTTGAAGTTGCTGCTGAACACTGCTGCTCAAAAGTTGAGGCTCTCTGCGCCATGTGTCTTTCTATCGTTCTGCATGTATCACATCGGCCGATGCTGGAGAGTGAACAAGGACCCCAAGCTTTGGTGCTTTGTGCCACAAAGGATCAGTGTGATGAGTTATACGTATTGCTTGATCGTTTTGGATCTGCTCTTCATTTGGTTACGCACAACTTGTTTGGGGCGTACCCTCCTATGCCAAGTGGAAAAAGGGCGGATATTGTTGTGGGCACCGTGCCGCTCTGGGAGAGCGTGGCAAAATTGAGTTTACTTGGCACTCTTGATGGTCTTGAAGAAATCCTCTATCAGGTCTCGCACGATTCGCGTTGGACGGCGTCATCAACGCGGTGGAGACCATATTCGCTGGATTTTGTTGTCCAACTGTTTTTTGTGGATTTGGACCTGCAGCATGCTTTGGGATACGGACCAATGCTGCAGCGGTTATTTATGGAACACAAAAGGCCTGTGTTACCGGGGCCCAAGCCAGTAAGGAATAAAATCCTTCACGGAACTAGAAATGGCTCTATCGGTTCTAGTGGGCTCCCACAAAGATGTCAGATGTATTGTTTGGTTGGTGGATGTGGGAAAGGAAAGGAACTCTTTGAAATACTGCTTGTTTTACGTGACAGGCGTGGAGATGGCAGGAATAAAAATGAGGTTGTACGAATTTCTATGAAGCAACCCCTGGTTCACCCTGACAAAAACGGCGAGCTTGTGACCGACGCTCCTCGCAAGCGTGTAAGAGATGAACATGATCATGGTGTAGCTATTGAGAAGGAATCTAAGAGGGAATGTCCTCGATTGGTGGTGCACAACGCCCTTTCACACTCTCGGTTAATGCTTGATGCAGCCGCTTTTGAAGAATTTGCAGCAGAGACGAAACGACGTGCTCAAAATTTTTGGTCAAGGTTTGAAGCAACATCATCTCCTAACGCAAACGAAAACCACAGGACGTTTGTCATAGACGTGCAGTTGGCATACTTATGCATAGGCCCGGATCAATACTCTGTAAAAAATGAGAGGACATGGTTCATGGCGGAGACGGTAGCCATCATTACACCCATAGGCGATGGTGCCGCACATCCATCAAGGACTGCACTGCTGATGCGTCACTTGGAAGATGAGCTCTCCGGGCAGATATTTGATGGAAGTGTTGTACAGTGTCTTTTCCAGCGGGGTTCAATCGATCGTGTGGCTTCTGATGCTGTGATGTTAAATCGTGTTTTTTCTGCCACGGCAAAGTCTATTTCTCAGGAACCGCTGTTTTTGCGCTTTGCTACTGAGGATGGAGAAGAGAAAGAGGAAGGAGGGGAAGCAAAGAAAGAAAAGACGGATCTGGAAATGGTGGATACACCCACAAACCGGGCACACCTTCGTCAGCTTGCTCAAGAAGCATCGTCTGAGGTGGAAGGGGCATCATCTTTTCCACTGCATAAATTTCTTGCCGTTTCTAGATGTCAGTCACGGCGCACTGTTCTTTCCTTTCGCCAGATTGCTCCAACCATCTCGTTGTTTTGCGACGCTCAAAGTAACAGAAAATCAATGGCGCTTCTGTACTTGGAGGAGTGTTGCCAGTACGGGAAGGTTGTTTCTTACTTTATATTTGGACAGCGGCGTGGTGGGAAGGACGGGAAGGGCTGCGTACATTTCTTTGTGGAGTTTGCGGGACATGAAGGGGCAGCAGAGGCTGTGCGGCAGTTTTCATTGCGTTTCGCAAGCGAAGGCAAAGAAACGGAAAATTACATGCGCGTGAAGCTTTTTCCCAACGAGTTGTATTATGAGGGGGTCACGGCCGAACTACAAAAAAGGCATGGTAAAACAGGCAAAATAGATAACACGAGTGATAATAGTAGTGATAGTGATGATGATGAATTTATGGGGGTTTCACTCCTCGGTGAATAAGGATAAATATTGGGGGTAAATACTGCCGTGTTATGATTGCTCGTGGTGGTTTCGAGTGGGATGATGCTGGTGGTGTTGGTGTCGCAGCTGCCGATAGAGCCATTGAAAATGGGGAGTAGCACCATTTATCTGCGTGGTTTTTGTTGTTTTCTACTAGTTTGACGAGCTGACTAAAGAAAGCCGGCATTTCTTTCTGCGTGCCGCTCTATTGGTCTTTATCCACAGTAGATTTTTCATTATTCCTTCCACCATTATTATTATTATTATTATTATTATTATCAGCTTGCAGATTAAAAATAAGCGAAATGAAACATACACGTACATATTATACATGTATGTATATATTTGCAATACAATTACTTTTAAAAATAAAAATATCCCTATTTTTTTTTTTTTTTTTTTTTTTTGATGGAACTGGGGCTCGCTATTCTCCAACTGCGTGGCTCATGCGTCGAAGTGTATTTTATCCGATAAAGAAAAACATTCTTTTTCTCCCCCTTAAAAAAATTTTATTTTTTGTTTTTTCTGATTTATTCACAAATGAAACAGGTCATTCCGCTACAATGGTGTCGCTGAAGCTGCAGGCTCGTTTGGCGGCGGACATTCTCCGCTGCGGTCGCCACCGTGTGTGGCTGGACCCTAATGAGGCCTCTGAGATTTCCAATGCAAACTCGCGCAAGAGCGTGCGCAAGTTGATCAAGGATGGTCTGATTATTCGCAAGCCTGTCAAGGTGCACTCGCGCTCCCGCTGGCGCCACATGAAGGAGGCGAAGAGCATGGGCCGCCACGAGGGCGCTGGGCGCCGCGAGGGTACCCGCGAAGCCCGCATGCCGAGCAAGGAGCTGTGGATGCGCCGTCTGCGCATTCTCCGCCGCCTGCTGCGCAAGTACCGCGAGGAGAAGAAGATTGACCGCCACATTTACCGCGAGCTGTACGTGAAGGCGAAGGGGAACGTGTTTCGCAACAAGCGTAACCTCATGGAGCACATCCACAAGGTGAAGAACGAGAAGAAGAAGGAAAGGCAGCTGGCTGAGCAGCTCGCGGCGAAGCGCCTGAAGGATGAGCAGCACCGTCACAAGGCCCGCAAGCAGGAGCTGCGTAAGCGCGAGAAGGACCGCGAGCGTGCGCGTCGCGAAGATGCTGCCGCTGCCGCCGCCGCGAAGCAGAAAGCTGCTGCGAAGAAGGCCGCTGCTCCCTCTGGCAAGAAGTCCGCGAAGGCTGCTGCACCCGCGAAGGCTGCTGCTGCACCCGCGAAGGCCGCTGCTCCACCCGCGAAGACCGCTGCTGCACCCGCGAAGGCTGCTGCACCTGCCAAGGCTGCTGCTCCACCCGCGAAGGCTGCTGCTCCACCCGCGAAGACCGCTGCTCCACCCGCGAAGACCGCTGCTCCACCCGCGAAGGCTGCTGCTCCACCCGCGAAGGCCGCTGCTCCACCCGCGAAGGCCGCTGCTCCACCCGCGAAGGCCGCTGCTGCACCCGCGAAGGCCGCTGCTGCACCCGCGAAGGCTGCTGCTCCACCCGCGAAGGCCGCTGCTCCACCCGCGAAGGCTGCTGCTCCACCCGCGAAGGCTGCTGCTCCACCCGCGAAGGCTGCTGCTGCTCCCGTTGGAAAGAAGGCTGGTGGCAAGAAGTGAAGCGCGCACTAGTACGACCAACTTGTTTTTTTTTTTTGGTATTTTATATTTTCTGAGGAAGAAGTGGGTATTGAGGGTCTTTCTTTCCGCGTTTGTGTTGGTTTGTGGTGTTCGTGACATTATAGTAGATCAAAGTATTCTTCAGTGTCCCTTTTCCTTTTCTCCATCCTTTTTCCTATTTTTTGTTTGTCTTCTCTACGATCTTTGTTGTCGTGTGACCTCCGCTGTATGGAACTGACGGCCGGCGTTGTGAGAGACGATGTCGCACGTCACGGCGGACCTGGAGTATTTTAAATGTGACATGTGCGGGGTGTATCTGCACAAAGACATCTTTTGCGACCATCGACGTGAGTGTAAAGGCCTTGATTCGAAAGAGCTGAAGAAGAGCCAGTGTCGTCAGATCGGGATGGCATTAGACAAGGAGGCACGGCACCGAATTGCGTCACGAATGGCTGATGGAGCAACTCTCGTGCCTGTCGAGCTTGCAGAACGACATCAACAGGCGCGTGTGCGGCGTAATGTGGCGAATTCTTACCAAGCTGAGATAGATAAAAGGCTGCAGGAGCAGCTTGCCCCTGAGAGGATGAAGGCTCTTTCCACATTTCTTTGGGAGTGACCTTGACTGTTGCGCCGTTTCCGTGTCACTATTTCTATTGCTTTTAAATTGCTGGAGAGGCGCGTGTAGGAGAGAAAGAGTAGTAACATGGCGGAATCATCAAAAACGATGTTGCGTAAGTAGAGAGGAGGGAAACATCGAGACGTTGAGGGTTGCGACGGCCAAGATTATGTACATTTACCTGAATTAGGATAAGACTTCATATGGTATAAAGTCGTGGCGTTGTTGGTGGTTATAACAAGCAACGGTGACGATGTCTCAGTCTACACTGCTACAATCAAAGAGTTTTACAGGTACTTGTGGATATTTGTTCCTGTGAGTTTGTTTTCTATTATAATTTATTTTGTCTCAATTTTTTGTTTCCCCGCTTCCTACGGTCTCTTTTTTTCTTCGTTCTTGAAATTTCAATTATTGCTTAACCACAAGCATCCAGTACTTCAACCTCCCCATCAAATGGTGTCGCTGAAGCTGCAGGCTCGTTTGGCGGCGGACATTCTCCGCTGCGGTCGCCACCGTGTGTGGCTGGACCCTAATGAGGCCTCTGAGATTTCCAATGCAAACTCGCGCAAGAGCGTGCGCAAGTTGATCAAGGATGGTCTGATTATTCGCAAGCCTGTCAAGGTGCACTCGCGCTCCCGCTGGCGCCACATGAAGGAGGCGAAGAGCATGGGCCGCCACGAGGGCGCTGGGCGCCGCGAGGGTACCCGCGAAGCCCGCATGCCGAGCAAGGAGCTGTGGATGCGCCGTCTGCGCATTCTCCGCCGCCTGCTGCGCAAGTACCGCGAGGAGAAGAAGATTGACCGCCACATTTACCGCGAGCTGTACGTGAAGGCGAAGGGGAACGTGTTTCGCAACAAGCGTAACCTCATGGAGCACATCCACAAGGTGAAGAACGAGAAGAAGAAGGAAAGGCAGCTGGCTGAGCAGCTCGCGGCGAAGCGCCTGAAGGATGAGCAGCACCGTCACAAGGCCCGCAAGCAGGAGCTGCGTAAGCGCGAGAAGGACCGCGAGCGTGCGCGTCGCGAAGATGCTGCCGCTGCCGCCGCCGCGAAGCAGAAAGCTGCTGCGAAGAAGGCCGCTGCTCCCTCTGGCAAGAAGTCCGCGAAGGCTGCTGCACCTGCCAAGGCTGCTGCTGCACCCGCGAAGACCGCTGCTCCACCCGCGAAGGCCGCTGCTCCACCCGCGAAGGCTGCTGCTCCACCCGCGAAGGCTGCTGCTCCACCCGCGAAGGCTGCTGCTCCACCCGCGAAGGCTGCTGCTCCACCCGCGAAGGCTGCTGCTCCACCCGCGAAGGCTGCTGCTCCACCCGCGAAGGCTGCTGCTCCACCCGCGAAGGCTGCTGCTGCACCCGCGAAGACCGCTGCTCCACCCGCGAAGGCTGCTGCTGCACCCGCGAAGACCGCTGCTCCACCCGCGAAGACCGCTGCTCCACCCGCGAAGGCCGCTACTCCACCCGCGAAGGCTGCTGCTCCACCCGCGAAGGCTGCTGCTGCTCCCGTTGGAAAGAAGGCTGGTGGCAAGAAGTGAAAGGATGCTGAATATTTTTTTTTTTGTTTTTATTTTTCTACCTATTTTATATATTTTTATTTATTTGTTTCGACTGTGTGGGTGTGTTTGTTCCTGTGGTTACTGAGATCGTAGATTTGGAAGTACCGTTATAATATATATATATATATTTGTGTTTCTGCGGGAATGTGGTAATTTTTATTACAAGAGGAGGCTGGCGTCAAGGAAAGTCCGCAAATATGATTCCGAAGCTGAACATAAATAGCATTCTTGAGATGAGTGGAAAATCTAGGGAACAAAATGCTGCTGGGGGTAATCGAATGGAGGCTATGCGAACGCCACAGGAAATGCTTTCTTCTACGCCCCTGCGTGTCCGCAGTACTGTCAAGAGTGTGCCTCGAATTCCCCATGATGGGTCGCCCACTCATTCTTGGCGTTCTAGTGCCACTAACAAATTCGAGGAAAGTGGTTCAGGTTTTGATCTGCCTCGACGCGCGGAGGAGCTCAGTTATGTTTTGGGTGGGAATGTCCTGCAGATTCAGGACGTTCAAACACTGCAGCTGAAGGCCGTTGAAATGGCAGAGCGGCTGCTGCGTATGGAGGAGTGGTATAAAGAGCAATTGCATGAACGCAGTTCATATCTTGAGCACCGGTTGATGCAGTTGACAGCCTCCACAGTTGGTGGCTGTAGCCAACCGGCCTCACCACCAATTGATAGGTTGGTTGCGCCGGCAATAATAAGAAGCCGACAAGTTCCTAGCAGCACGATGACAGGGTTGAGCCGCCCCACACTGAATGTGGGCGCAGCAGCTTCCATTCGTCAAAATGCCGTTCCGGCTGCGCCTAATACGCCCAACACCGGCCTGGCAAATTCGAGGACACCTGACAGTTCTCGCCACCTCATCCATCACCGTAACACCACACCAGTGCGTGATCCTCCTTTTTCAAGCCAAAGTGCTGCGTTGCGCCACACACCCTTTAGCAGACGTCCAAATAGAGATGGAGGGTTGAACAGTGGAGGCCGTTCAAAGGGGTCAGGAATAGAACGACGTAAGTTGCGTAGTGCAAGTTTGACCATAAGCCGCGGGTCGAGAGGGAGTAGCGATGCTGGAATCGAGGAACCTGATGATTCATCCAGGCGGCGGAAAAAGCGACGTAGCCTGGCTTCACCCCTGTTGGTGGCAGTGCCAGTGACGAACAACACCCCTAAGCATCAACGTCCTTCATCGGGGAGGCTGGGGCATACGCCTTAGGCTACTGTCATGTTTGAGTAGTGACTTTTATTTGACTACATCTTGTTTTTTTTGTGTGTGCGTGCATGTATGTATTGGATGTTTTGGATGCCGGACAGCCCTGTTTGTATTTGTGGAACTAGAGCCTATTTAAGATGTGGGATGTGGGAGATGTATTTTTTTTTCTTTACTGCCAACTCTCCGCACTCATCAGGCAAGTATTACCCTATTTGTGGGAATTTGTCCACCGAGCAAATGACATACTTGCACACCTCTTTTGGGAAGTCATATCCTCTTTTCCTCATGCTTCTTATGCGATTCTGGGCGGTGTGGTTGTGGTTGTGGTGGAAGAATGGAAGTGCCGCACATTCTATCATGCGTTTGTTTAACCCCTTTTTTTTTTTAATTGTGGTTTCCTTGTGATTAGTTGACGCATGAGTATTTTTTATCCTCCACTTTTTTTCTGTTTATTTATTTATTTATTTATTTATTTATTTATTTTGTATGGTGCTCATGCGGGTTAGACAGAAAGAAAGACTGAGAGTGAGAAAATACACAAGGGAGAAGAAGAAGTGAGAAGTGGAGAGTGAAGGCGAAGAGAATGGACCAGCAGAGCAAGGCCCCAAGCCCGACGCCCGGTTCACCACGGCGACCAGCAGTGAAGAACATTCTGAAAAACGTAGAGAGCCATGTTCGTCTCATGTCGCATCTTGAGTACACGTCGACTTCCTCCAGCTACACCTCTTTGCGCCTCAAGAACGCGCAGACCGATAAGTGGTCTGACCCGTTTAATGTCACACGTGTGCACAGGGCTACTCCAACGGATATTTTCTACCATGAAGTTATCGCGCCCTGTGTGTCGAACTGCCTGGCGGGACAGAGCTACCTCTTCTTGGTGAGCGGGCCCTGTGAGAGTGGCCGTAGCCAAACCCTCTACGGCAGCCCGCACCATAGCGAGAAGGGGGTTATAGAGCTCGCCGCAGAAGAATTACTGCGGCGTGTGACAGAGACGACAGATGGGGAGGAAACTGGAGGGTTTCGCGCGACCGTAACGCACTCGGCATTTATTACGCGTGGATCTCAGTTGCTGGAGACGGTAAGCGGCAATCCAGTGCCGATTGTGGAGTTTCCACCGCCGTTGGGGTCTACTCCATTACCACAAATGCGTCTGCTCGATTCAGCCTCCAGCGCCGTACAGATACCCACTAAGAAGCACATGGATACATCCTGCATCGTGCAGTTTCACGTCTACAGACCGGTCGATTCATCGGGGCGACGTTCAATGGCTACAATAACATTTGTGGATGTTGCCGCATTTCGTCTACCTCATTGCACTGAAGTTATTCATCTCATTGAAACGGTGCGTCGTGTGGCGGGTCTCTCAAATGCTGGTGATCCCGATTTTAAGCATACAAAGTTAACAACCTTACTTGAATCAGCACTTGTGGGCTACGTGACACTAATGTCAATCACAACAATCAGTGGACGGCAGGATTTACACGAGTCTGCGTGCGATGCCTTGCGTTTTGCGGAGTCACTTAGCCGTATTCATCAAGTCCTGATGCTTGTGCACATCAATATTCCCAAGTGGTTGTTGGACACGGCGGAAAAACTTGAGGATCTTCGTATGCAACGGGAACGGATCCTCTCGGAGCAGCACTCCCGTGGTGTTTATGATTTTTATCGTGCTGCCGCCAAGTGGCTGTCGGAGCATGTCAGCGATGTTGACGGCACCTTTGATAAGTTACTTGAAGAGACGGAAAGCATCCGTCAAGAGGTTTCGCATGAGGTGAAAGCCCAGATAAAAGACCTCCAAGCACGCATACAGGATGAACAGCAGGAGTGTGCGTCGCAGCTGGAAAGAACACGGGCCGCCCACGCTGTGACGTCGTCACAATTAGAGGCGGTAAAACGGCTAGACGAGACAATTGCGACGCTCGACCAGCAGCTCACGCAAAGAGACTTCTACAGTGACCACAAAATCAGTGAGATGCGCATTGAAATATCCACACTGGAGAACGAGACGAATATGCATCGACAGGAGCTCACACAACTGGAGAAGGAGGAAAAACTCTACGCCAGCAAATACAAGGAGGTGGTTGATGTCCTTGGGAAGTATGCTGAGGACCTTGCTTGGGCACAGGTGTACTTTGCACACGCCATCGAGATGAATGCCATCAACCAAAAGAAGGAGGAACTTGAGGCAGAGCTGGAGCTTGCCTCTCGGGTGGCTCGCCGGGCAACAGACACCCTTCGTTTTGACCGTGTGCGCCGTTCAAAGATATCACGCTTGACAATGATGCAACAGAAGGTTGACGCCCTTCGAGAGAGAGTAAATCCCAACAGCAGCGCAAATAACGGGAGCTTTAGCCGATCCGAGTGTCACGAGGACTCCGTTTCATTGTCTCCAGGGCGCCGGCGGAGGCGTTACGTGAGCCCACGCTATTCAGCGATGTGACATTTTGCTATATATTTTTATACGTTGTGCGTCTGTGTATGTGTATTTGTGACTCAATTAGATGTGTTTATGTTAGAGGCGAATAAGAATAGATGGTATTGTGAGAGACGTGACTGCAGGGCTTGAATACATCCGTTTTGAGCTTCGGTCTTTAGCATCCGTTTTTACAAGTGTTGATACCTTTGTTTTGTTTATTTATTTTGTTTGTTGCGTGACGGGGGGGGGGGGGGGGGAAAAAAAAAAAAGGCCCGGGTTTTTTTTTTCCTGGTTAC